TATGAACACAGAGGACAACATAGCATCAGCTATGGTGTCTGTGACCAGAGACACAGAAATTCCTGGATGGAGCCAGGTACTCCTGACAGGGTGTTCTTTGATCAGTTGGAGAAGGCTCAGAGTTTACATGTGCTGATGGCAAAGGAACATGGACTATACGAATTCTCTAGGGCCACCAAAATGAAGCACCAGATAGTGGATGGATTAAATAAAAGAGATACAATATGGTATATGGTTCTGGAGGCTGCAAATCCTAGATAAGGCATTGGCAGGGTTGGTTACTTCTGAGGTCTCTGTGACTTCTAGATGGTTTTTTTCATGATCTTCTCTTCATAAGTCATGTGTCCAGACTTTTTTTTTTATTTCTATAAGGATACAGTTCACAATGGATGGGGGTCTATTCTATTTACTCTGCTTTAAGATAATAAGCTATTTAAGGACCCTATACCTGAACACAACCACATTCATGTATACTAGGGGATAAGATATCAAGGTACCAATTTAGGGGAGATACATTATAGCAGATAAGAGGTCTTGAGCTTGGCAAACAAAACAAAACAACTGTCACCTAAGGAATATTTTGTTTTCTAAGGTTAAGAGCAAAGTTTTCCACCCATCACTGTGTTAGTTGCCTTCTTGTACTAATCTTTGAAATTATCTTCTCTCCTGCCCACTCTTGTCTCATCACCAAGCATGAATGCCAATCCATCTGGGACTGTGGTTATTTGTGTCTTCTGCAGTAGCCCAAGAGATCCTGCTGGGCTAGAAGGACTGTCCTAAAGTTGTTTGGGGATGTCTCCACCACAAGGCTTCCCAAGAAGGAGCTATTTAGCCAGCAGCAAATTCTTTCTGAAGCTTCTCTGTGGCAGGCTCCCTGCTCATGCCTGTGTTTATGATGATTGAAATGTCATGATTATGGTCTAAAGAATAAGTATAGTGCTGGGAGGCACCGTATCTAGATCAGTATCACAAAGCTCACTCCAGAAGATGAATGGGGGTGGGTTGCTAGGGTTTGGAAGTTGATGCAGAGCACAGCACATACATACACACATACAAAAATGTAAATCACTATATATCAAGATAATGAAATGCCCTCATATACTACTCTATTCATACACAACCCTAGAGAGATTGCCAGAGACAGATCAGTTAACATCAAGGACCTGATCAAGGACCACTTTCCCTGTCAGAGGTGTGAGTCTCTCTCTCTCTGAGATTTGTCCCACTGTGTTTTCTGTCCATAGTACTTCAGGACTCCATTGAGAGGACTTACTGAGAGCTGAAGGGAATTAATGGTGTTTGTTTATGTATATGTGTGTATAGTGTGTATGGTATGTATGTGTTCATGAGTATGTACATACAAGAGAGAGAGAGAGAGAGAGAGAGAGAGAGAGAGAGAGTGTGTGTGTGTGCGGGGGTGCGTGTGTGTGTGTGTGTATGTGTGTGTGTATGTGTGTGTATATATACGAGAGAGAGAGAGAGCGTGTGTGTGTGTGTGTGTGTGTGTGTGTGTATGTGTGTGTGTGCATGTATAGGCCAGTGGTCAAGATCAGGTGTCTTCAGTTTCAATCACTCTTCTCCTTACTCTTTGAGGCACTGTTTCTCACTGAACTCAAAGCTTGCAGATTCGGCTATGCTGGTTGCCCAATGAGCACCAGTGAGTCACCTCTGTCTGCTTCCTGCAGCATGGAGCATACCTAGCCTTTAACATCTATCCATCCTTTGCCTTTCACAATGCTGGGAAGCTTGCCTTGTTCTTCTAAACCTTTGCTTTCACACTGTCAAGTGTCCACTTAAAGGTGTTCCTTTACCTTTGGAATGCAAAGGCTTTTGTTGTGAGGGAGAGGATGAGGGTCGGGGCTCCTGGCCTGGCAGATGAGTGTTCCCTATTATTTAGCTCCTTTCTCAGTCTTCATTGTAGTTGGTTCTAGAGCAATTGGGATGATCTCTGGAATGGCAAATGGAGGAGGCACCAATAGAGGCTGCACAGAGACAAGAGGCTGAAGTCGGCTCCCATCAGAGACTGAAGTCCTCACCAGAGGCTCTCTTGTGCTCTCTCAGTGGCCTCCAGGGTGGATCTCCTCCTAACCACAGAGAAGAACCATTGGAAAGATCCTCCCACCTCTTGCTTAACACCAGCACTCTTAAAGTACTTATAGGAAGTTATTTCTCATCAAGTGCCTACCAGGCCTCTTACATAACCCTCAGCTTTCCCCTTCTCACCCATCAGAGCTGCCCTCCTTTTTTTCCATGTACATAGAATACTTCTGTGATTCTCCCTTGATCTCTGTCCTTGGATGACTTGGGGAGGACTTTGTCTGTTTTCTGCCTATTTGACACAAGAGCAGAGGCCATATTCAAGTCTCACCGTTAAGGGGCTGACATCGGAGGCTGCCTAGAATATCCACTGAACTCAGAAAATCTTGAAACATTTTCTTGAAGCAAAACCACTGGGGTATGATTTGGAGGGAGAGTGGGGTGTAAGAATGGGAGTAGGGTGGCAGGCCATTCTTGTCCACAGACATCTCTGTGTCATAAAACATAGGCATACATGCAATGCTTACACAGCTGAGCTGGAGACCGAGGCTTCTACAGAGTTTGGATGACACAGCTCATTTCCTCCTTCTTCAGAGGGAAAAGCCCCTTGATTTTTAAACAAGTAGTGGGAAATGCAGCACCTGAGCTCTCCTGATTGTGACCTTCAGTGATATGAAGGTGCCGCTGACACAGCTCATTTGTCTGTTTTCCTGGATGATGGGAGTGGAAAGCTTCTAAGCACAGGCTAACTCCAGGTGAGGAAATGGCAGAATATACACTCACATAAACACACACACACACACACACACACACACACACACACACACACACACACACACGTATAAATACATATTTGTCTGTGCTTATGTCCTGGTTTTTATTGTCAACTTGACACAACCAAGAATTACCTGGGAGAGGGAGTCCCAACGCAGGTATAACCCAGTTCAGATTGGCCTGTGGTAATGTCTGTGGGGACCTGTCTCAATTGTTGATTGATGTAGGAGGGAATTAGCTCACTGTAGGTGGTCCTACTCCTGACTAGTAGTTCTAGGTTACATAAGAAAGCTGATTGAGCATGAGCCAGAAGGAGCAAACCTGCAAGCAGTGTTCCTCCATGGTTTCTGCTTCAGTTCCTATCCTGGCTTCTCTCAGTGATACACAGTATAAGGAAGTGTAAGCCAAATGAACTCTTTAGTCAGAGTGTTTATCATAGCAATAGAAAGAGAAACCATAACTCTGTGTGTGCGTGTGTGTCTGCGTGTGCGTGTGCATGTGTGCGCTCGTGTGTGTGTGTGTGTGTGTGTGTGTGTGTGTGTGTGTGTGTGTATACATGCCACAGCACACATGTGGAGGTAAGAGGATAGCTTGTGGGACTTGCTTCTCTTTCCAACATTTCATCATGTGGTGGTGATGGTGTCTGGGGATCAAACTCAGGTAGTTGATCATGGCAGCAAGTGCCTTCACTAGCTGAGCCATCTCATAGACCTCCCATTGTCATCTTATACCATGTACATGTGCATTGCACAACATATGTTCCTCTCTACATACACTTGATGATATGATATTTGATATACCTTTGGGGTTTTTACATGAACTGAATCAATTAATCATCACTTGGGGTGCCTGTCAATCATAAGTAGTGCATGCAATGCTTGTTAGTTTAGTTACCTAGCCGGTCAGCTTGTGATTGAATACGCAATCACAAACTCAGCAACCTGAAACCTAGCTGAGACTTTAACACAATCTGTACCTCACCACACATCTGTATCCCCACCCCATCCCTTGCTTTTTCCTCTCTTCATTCCTCACTCCTTCCCTTTCCTTTCTCCTATCACCTCATGGCACTTTACTTGTAGTCCTACAAAGCTCATTTTAATTTTATAGAATCTTCCTTCTGTGTACTTGTGTTTTAGCATTGCCGGAGTTCAATTGTCTCAACGGTAAATATGTCACAGTTCATTTCCCATGTTCCTGTGGCCATTTGGGTTGCTTCCCAGTTTCATCATCGTGGACAGAACACCTATGAGGATGTCCCTTCATCTACGTGCCCCTTCTTGAACATGTGTAAGAGTGGAAGTGTCGGATCAGAGGCTACTGCAAATGTTCAGCCCCAGAGATAAAGGCACTTGGAGCTCTACACAAACCTCCCACACATGGATACACACCTGGATAGTTCACATAGCTCATGCTGACATTTGTTATAATAAAATAATAAAAAGCAACATTTTCTACTTGGTATTTCAGTCAGAAAAGGTTAAAACAAAAAAAATATGCATCTCTCCTGCCAGTGTAACATTATGTAAATGTCTGTCCACAAGATGGAATGCCCTAGATTATTCCAGAACCACTGTAATTCACAAACTCGGACAAACCAAAACAGAACCACTGCAGCAGAAATTGTACTTTGATGGTAGCCAATATCCATGAGAAGATTAGCTTCTAAGCAGTGTAAAGTATTGAGTCCGTGGGGGTAGACATTGATGATTCAATATTGTGACATCTTCTTCTAAATGAGCTGTGTTAGGACTCTGAATCCTTACCTGAAGATAGGAGAACTTTTCTTGGTGAAAAATTGCTCACAGGTACATTCTCTATGAGGAAAAATATGAGTTCATCTGCATATCTATCTATGCATGTATAATCGATCACCAGCAGACATTATCTTGGTGGTTTTTACGGCTCTTTCAGAAGGTGTTGTCACCATCTAAAACCATACTCAATATTTTAATAACTAGTTTTCTTGTTCAGAAATTGCTTCACACACACATACACACATGCATGTGTACACACACACACACACATACACACATGCAGGTGTACACACACACACACACACACACACACACACACACACACACACACCTCTGCATCAAAAACAGTGATTTAAAAGTTAGAATGAAACACCACCAGAATTGCAGCTAGCCAGATATCATTGGAGATGAGAAGCAGAGGGAATTTCGTACCTTCACGTACAGCTGCTGGAACTCCTCAAGATTCAGCCTCCCGCTTGGACAGTCTTTGAGGAACCCCTTGTACCACTGCTTGAGCTCATGCTCGTTGAATTCGGTGCTCTTCACCAGGTCCTCCATGACTTCGGGGGCCAGTTTGCTATTCTGTTTCCCCATTGTGCCTGCAGAAAACCACAAACCACATTGACGTAGTCAGCACAGTGGCCAGAACTCACTTCTGCCTGTCTGATCCCAGCCTCCCTGAGTCTGCATCCTTCTTCCACTTAGTATTCCAGAATAGACAGGAACAGGAAAACCCCTTTGGAGGAGCCTGCAGTCTGTGCAGCTCCCTGTCATTGTGTCACCTGTCACAAGGCATTGATTCTTCCATGGAAACCAGAGAGCCATTATACTTGATGTTCATCACAGGTATATGGAAGCTTGTTGTCTACTCTTTTGAGTTACAGTTCACTGGTACTTGATACCTAAGCATCTAATTTTACACTTAACTTGCATGGATATTGGGAGAGATATGGACAAGACCCATGGGAAGACTTTATAACCAAAAGTTTAAAAACCTGACCATCTATTGTAGTGTCTTGGTTGGTCTAGTTCCCAAGTCCTGGATTTTTTTTTAATTGAATGAAAACATTTTTATTAGTCACATCAATTCATACTCTTCTAATTTCTAGACATTCCCTATCTTCAGTGTTGACTTTCCCTAAAGATTGGTTAGTGAATTTTCATCAACTATATTTCATCCTGTCACATTTAATCATTCAAAGTTAAAATATCAGTGCATGAAGTCATGTCTCCTACATGAACTGTAAATTGCATGGTCACAGCAGAGCATAGAGTAGGAGGACAGCTCAGGTTTAGAATCTCCAGATTGCCTCCTGGATTTGTAAGTATCTATGTGTGCTAGATACATAAATATTAATTATTGTCCTCTTTCAATTGCTTCATAAAATAAATTAGCAGATGTAACAGGATCCAGCTTTACCGGATGCTTAATTAAGAAATACATAGGTGAAGACGAAAAAGAATAACTTGAGATTAAAATAGTTGTACTTTTGCTAGATTATTAACATTTTAAAATCCTTTTAATGTCATTTTAGTATAATAAAAATCATTAAACTGTGGCCAATAAACTCCAGAGTGACTGAAAAAAATTCATGACAATCTGAGGACACTTGAGAAGAACAGTCCCAGAAGATGTTTGAGAGATGTAACTAGCAGGGTGATTTAGGTTTTAAAGAATGAACTCAAGTGGATCAGTTATTCCATGCATTTTAAGCAGGTCTATACTTGCAACAGCCCTGAGGGGAAAATGCCATCTTATACTTCGCTATTGTAATTATTTTAATCTCTTCCTAAAGCAGCTCCTGCATCCTTTATCAGTAACCTGCTCCAACATAGACCAGGCATTTCACTATAATGAAAGCAAACCCTGCTCATTACTTCCAGGAAAGTTTCCATCCTGGCATCACCCCAGCAGCACGGAGCCATTCCGAGGACACCTTATGGTGGCTAGTTATTTTCCAAGCTCCTCTGTTTGACCAAGGTGCTCTGGGATCAGCAACTCTGCCCTGTATCGGGAGTCTTTTGTTCACTTCTGCTCTGAATTTCACTTCAAAGTCTTTTATTAGCAACTGTCTCTTAATTATAAGTTACTGTGGCATTCCACAGCTGGATGTGGAAATGAGTGGGTACTCAGGTGTGAGATTTAATTAATCTGGGTAAGAAAACTGTAATTCACTGTTAGCCTCAGAATCAAAAGATGGGCCGCCAAAACTTTCAGGCTGTTACTTTGTTACTTTTGATAGAGAGGCATCGATTTTCCTTATTTAGAATCCCACCTCACAGCAGTAAGTACTGAATATATTATGTTGGCTTGGAGAAAGCCGTAGATCAGTGGTTCTCAACCTATGGGATGCAATCCCCTTAGAGGTCTAATGACCCTTTCTTAGGGGTCACCTAAGACCACCAGAAAACATAGATATTTACCTTGTGATTCATAATAGTAGCAAAGTTACAGTTATGAAGTAACAATAGAAATAGATTTATGGATGGAGGTCACCACAACATGAGGAGCTGTATTAAAGGGTCGCAGCAGTAGGAAGATTAAGAATCACTGCCTTAGATGGAGCACTTCACATACTTCAACAGGGACCAGGACATCTCCCCGAGACTCAGAACACTGTGGTAACTTCTACAAGATCACACAACCAAGGAAATGCAAAGCTAGGGTTTGAAACTGGATTTACAAGACTAAACTGCATCAGCAGAGATACACAAGAGGATGGAAGCATCTCTGGATCAGAAGAGGAGGAGCAAAAGTTGGAGGGTCAGAGAGATCTGACTCATGTTGAAAAAGGAAAAACAGAGAGATGGGTCACATTGCTGGATTGGCTGGCTCATTAGAGAAAAACTTACCAAAATCACACTTGGCACATATATAGTAATTAATCATAAGAAATAGGTTAAAAGTTATGAGAAACCACTCCCCAAATACCTGTAGAAATTCAGCAGTGTAGAAAAAGCAGATTCTCCATGGATCATTTGCGATGCCTCAAGCTGTTCCCACTGGCTGAGAGAGGATGAATGTCTCTCTCACACACAAGAGGCATTGTCAGGGCTATGAGTCATAATTCTGGAGAACCAAGTGCATAACTTCATGCCTTTTGGTTACAGTCACAGTCAATGTTATTGCTCAGGTGTGCCCAGAGTGGGTAGATCATGTACAAAGTCCTGTTATGGCCTGTTTCAGTGATTGTGCCTCTGTGCCACCCCCACCCCCACCAGGCCAGACTTCACCAGGCTCTCCTTCTTCCTCACTCCCCGGGTTCTATCCTAACCCACAGGGCATAGCTGCATGAGTACAGTTTTGAGCCACCAACCCTACCACTGGACTTGTCTCTTCAAACCTCAGCACTGCCCCCTTGTCCACAGCACACGGCGCCACCTCCTGAGCATGGCACATATTCTGCTGTTTGCTAAGTAGCCTCACTTTCTTCCTGTCTGTTGTTTTACTCCATATGGTAACAATAATGAGCAGTTATAAGTTTCAGAGCTTGCACGTTGCAGACCTCCAAGTTCTCTAGGATGATGTTCCCTTTGTCATCTTAGCCAATTCCTTCCTGTCTGCCTACATAACCCCAGTTCACATCTGACCTCCTCGGTAAGATCTTCATGGTGGAGCGATCCTTCATCATAGGTCTCTCCTCTCTTGGTAGAGCTTCCACGGTGTCCTTATTTTCCTACTGGAGTTTTTTTCTTCTTTCCTCCCTCCCTCCATTCCTCCCTCTCTCCTTCCTTCCCTCTCTCCTTCCTTCCTTCCTTCCTTCCTTCCTTCCTTTTTTCTTTCTTTCTCTTTTTTTGTGAGAGAGAGGGAGGGAGAGACAGAGACAGAGAGATACACAGAGACCAAGAGAATGAGGGATGACTGTCTTTCCGTCCTTGGTAATTTCTATTAGATGTTCCACAAACACATTTTGAGGGAATGAGTAGTAAGGTGGACTCACATATTTGATATGCATTTTCCCAGGGAAATCAGTCTCATTATCTCGATATGAAGAGGGTTGATGGACTCTTAAGTCTGAGATACAGCCCACAGATGGCAGATATGTTTTGCTTAACTATGTGGAAAATAGCCTGTCCTGCTAAAGATGGCTTACCTGTCTGTTCTCATTCATTACTTCTGAATACCTTGAAGGCAGAGTCTGTCTTTCACCTCAGAATCCTTGGGGGCTGATAGAAAGATGGTGCATGGCAAGGTTTTTAAATGAATGGGCGGAGATGGCTTGATGCTTCTGAATCATGGACCTCTCATTCTGGGCCACAGTGGCATGAGCCAAGTAAGCTTTCTTATCATGGAGCCAGAATGGCAAAAAGGGAACAAATGACAGCAAGACTCATAATCTTCCCAGGCAGAGTTCCCATGACATACAGCAAGGGAAGGAATGTTCCCTCTGTCTCCAACTTACTCTGTGATCTTGGGAGAGTTCATATTCTGTCTCACTCAGTTTCTTCACTTACAAAGAAAACAAGTTGGGTCAAGTGATAGCCGAGGCTCCCCTAACTCCTCCATTGTCTTAGTGGCTGCACACATGTTTCTAACGATGGAAGCGTGAGTCACAGACTTCAGACAGACTCGTGTCAGCACACGTCCACTCTGTATTTTTTCCTGAGAATCTGTCGTTGCTTGAGCGTTTTTGCTACCCAGGAAGGGAGGGGACAGAAACTGTGTTTGATTTTTAAGCTGATGTTCCAGGCAATAAGGGAAAACCCAGCCCCACCCGCAACCAAATGAACTCCTTGGTGCCTGAGATTTGGAAGAGAAAAGCTCAAGACTACGTGCAAAAGGATCAGCTTGAGGTCCTCAGTGGGCACATGATCTCAGAGAGGATGGGGCCCTGGAACAGAAAGCCCCCATCACTTAATTGCAAATGGCACTCTGATAGATGGGGGGCTTATATATATCTTACTGTACGAATGGCTTTTGTGTGACAGCATTCACTCATATAACGATGCTGTCAGAAGGAGATCATCTTAACTCCTCTTTTATTGCTAGTGCTGCACAGGTCAGAGAGAGTAAGTGATTTGCCCTAGTCTGATCATAGACCTCTTGTACCTCTTTGCTTATTGACACAGGCTACACCATCTTCTCCTGCCTGGAGGCTTCAACTATCATTGGTGGTCCCACCACAAGGTTTGTTTATTTCCTATCTACATCCTACCCTGTCCAGTAGCAGGTTTCAGAGAAGAAAGAATAGAGTAGGTCATTGAGAATAGCCAGGGAGCTCCTGTAGGAAAGAAAGCTTTTTCCCACACCCCAGAGACTCCTTTGCACATCTTTTCTCCACAGCCCCCTTCAGGATAATTTCGTGTGTGTGTGTGTGTGTGTGTGTGTGTGTGTGTGTGTGTGTGTGTCTGTGTGTGTGTCTGTGTGTGTGAGTGTGTGTGTTTGTTATATGCAGTTTCCCAGTACATCTCAGGGCCATCTGAGTTCCAATAGGCATACAGAGCTGCACAGTCAGCTCTTCCCAGGTAGTCTGGCAATCAGCCTGGTGGAATCTTAGTAAGATTCATCTATAGCCTGGCTGGCTGAGATGGAGCAGTCAAGCCACATGTGCAGACACACAGCAGCATAAATACAATGGGAAACAGGCTTGGACAACAGCCCAGCCCAGCAGAAGAAAAGACTTTGGGGCACAGGCTTCAAACCTCTGGTAGGCACGCAACACTCACTAGGGTAGAAGATGGCTTGGCTGGGAGCCAGGCTGGTTCTAGTGTCGAATTACCAGGTCAGCCTCTGACAAATTAGCTCTTAGCTCCAGCTCTTGGCTTCTTGTCTGTACACAGAGATAACTGGAAGAAGCTGGTCTTGTTCATGCATCAGTTGCTTGCTGGCATTGCCTTTTGTTCCTTGTCACCTGTCTAAACCTTACTGCTCCTGCAAGGGTCTGTTCATTCCTGCCTTCTTCCATGTGTGGCTTTCAGTCCTCCTTTCTTCTTGTATTTAAAACCAGTTTCCTGGCTATGATGATGAGAGGCATTGTAAATGGGAGCAGACGGAGACCCCCAGAGCAGCTCAGTTTGACAGGAATTCCTCAGCAAATTCTGGGGGACATGGTCTGTCTTGGGTATGGTAGGATATAGATGGAAAGTTCCTGCCTTGAAGGGCTCACAAGACGTTCATATATCTTAAATATTATCAAATGTTGTTCACTTGAGAAAACTGTAACACCAGGAGGCAGACAAGTCAGTCAACTTTGTGACTAATTCCCAGGGGAAAACTCTTATCTGCTGGGACACATGAATCACCCCAAGCTACCTTTTTCGGACCCTTTCTTCTTAGAGAGAAGCCTGCTACTTGCAAGTCAGATGAGTCCAATGACTAGTTAACTGTGGTGTACCACTGCATGCCATGAAGGGTTGAGAGTGCCCATGGCAGCATACAGGTGACCCAAGTTCCCTCTGAATCCCTGCTCTCCCTCCTGATATGTCTGATGTGGGTTCTAGAGTCTTGTACTAGGACCGGCACAAAGAATTCAGAAACCATATACTTAGTAAAGCCTGGAGCCTGGGAGAACTGCCTCTAGGCACTTCTTAGTCCAAGCCTTCTGGTTTTAGGCTAGAGGATTTGACACTCATGAAAGTGACAGATTCTCTTAGATCACAGAGGCAGCTGGTGGCTGAACTGTGGTGAGAAGCCTGGGATACTGAGCCAGCTGGTGGCCCACCCCGACCCTTGCAGTATGTTGTCCCTAAGCCAAAGATTCAAAAGCTATAGTAGCCAAGCATGTTTATCTCTGTACAAAGAGGTTGAAATGCATTCTCTCCCCACATAGCCATCCCCCTAGAGTCCTGTAAACAAATGCTTTTGAGTTGCTACTTTCTAAAGCCTGTTAAACTTGAGCACTAAGAATCATAGTTGTCCAGAACGTTGAATAGTGGTTTCCTTTGGAAGAAAGGTAACTACTTTAAATCTGGATAATTTTTTTTTCTTTCCTTCCTCCAAGAGCGAAGTACTCAGAAGGCCCCAGCAGTATGTCTCAGGGGACAGCCAGGGTGTTGATGGCAGGCTGGCCTTTCAGTGCTGTCTGGGAACCAAAGCAGCTTCAGGGAAAAGAAGTCCTTTCTCATAGTACCCTCTGATGCCTTCACCTCAAACCTGTACCTCGTGGGATTATGGCTGAGGTTCTGGCCACAAGCTTGAAATAGGTGGTGGGGGCTCAGTCTCCAGCCTCAGGGATTCAAGATAAAAAGCAAAAGTGCATTATTTGATCTATAATAAATGAGGAAAAAATACTTTGATGGCAGTGGCAGCAGTGCTGTTAGGGCAAGCGACAAGAGATCTATCTGTTCAGGAAAGTGTAATGAATACATGAAGGTGAAAGCAGACATGGGCCCCGGGGATCAATCACCCAACTGCTTTGTTTTCTAGCTGGAGACCTGGGGAGGTCAGCCCACTTATGCCAGATAATACAGGGAGTTAGTAACAGGGGCCAGTGGTGCCCTCAGCAGGGGGCTTGTATACTGCTGCTGTGCCTGTGCCTGTGATCCCTGGGCACTGAGGTGGCCGCAGGTTCCTACAGAACTAGAAGGAATCTGTGCAAGTGGTCAGTGTATGAAGAGAAGCCGCCCCTACTAGGACTGCCTTACCTACTCTCTACCAACTTCCTATCTGAGCTGTCCCTGTGTAGGATACATACTGAGAACCTGCAATGACTTTGGAACTTCGGGAGGATGGCCGACCCCTGACTCCAGAATGGGAGCTACCAGTAGACTTACTGGATTTCCCAAGAGAGCTCATGATGTCTCTTCAAATGACCTTAATTACAGATCAGTGACTACATATCATCCTTTTCCAAGCCACAGTGAACATTTCTCAATGATCTGAGAAGTACAACTCAGACAAAAGCCATACTTGGTGTTTGCCTATAACTTTGGAAATGTTTCTTCTCCATTTTGCCACCTATTTTATTGGTTTCTTTTCCTTTTTACCAGGGATCAATGTCTCCCTCACAGTCAATTGGACTGAGTATGAGGGGGGCAGGAAGTATGTTCTAGAGTCAGGCTCGGGTTAGAATTGAGCTTCTGATAAATATAACATGGGGGTATATTTTG